AGACAGAAGCACCTATGCAACCTTGGCAAAGAAAGCTGTAATAAGAAAGCTTCAAGGGACGTTGCTTTAAGTCACAGAAACTGCTGGCAGAAGTCCTGTGATTTCAGTGAGTCCAGAGCTCTCTGAGGACAAACTCTCTGAAACAACTTTAGGTGTCACACCTGCACTTGACACCAGTTTGAGTTCAGCTTTAGTATATGCTCTCCTAAATAATGCATACATGGGAATATTCATTCTCCTGCAGGAAAACCAACTGAGCTCGTAAGAACCGATGTATAATTTAAGCAAAATTTTTACTAATACTCATGTGTTTTAACAATAGTTTGACAGACCTTGGGTTTGAAGTCAGACATTTTGATGATCTGAAAGCAGAAGATGTACTGCAGAAAATTTCTGAAGGTAGGAGGCTACATATTTCTTATGTCTAACAATTTGTAGCAGAATTTCCAGATATCTTTTCTTCCATTCTCTCTGTTCATCCAACCTAAAATGATTTTTGTGCAGAAGGAAGTTGTTTAACGTTAGAAAAACTTAGGCTTCAGATTATTTTATTGCAGAGTAAGCGAAGCTTCTGTGGAGATAACTAATGAAGTTGCCAAGAGTTGAAAGAAAGTGACTGCGTAACATTATTCTTCCTACTTTTAGTGGTTTTTACCTTCAGCCATGTTAAATCGTTGCACCTCCAAAATCTTTGCAGTATTCACTATCTGAAAATAGGGTTTATTTGAAACAGGACTAATCAGATTGAATGAGATATGATACAAATGTACAATGTTTTCTAAGCCTAAAGATCACCATTTAGTCATCTAAACAGCAGTTGACTATTTCAGCCTCCAAGGATGACCACAGTAATGCCGACTGTTTTGTTTGTGTGTTCCTGAGTCATGGCGAGAATGATCATGTTTATGCATACGATACCTACATCAAAATTGAGACAATCACTGACATGTTCAGAGGAGACAAGTGCCAGAGTCTGGTAGGAAAACCGAAGATATTTATCATTCAGGTAAGATGTTTGTTTCTGCATTCAGTGAAGTTAACTCTGACCTATGTGTTCTTGTAATATAGGAGTTGGTTTTCCTAACACAATCCTTCTACAAGGGAAAGTTTTTGCATCTTGAGGAAAGAAATTATGGAAAATTGTTCCTTAAAGAATTTAAGACAAGGACTCTTCAAAAAAAAGCAACAAGCAAACCAAACAAACCAACCCTTATGTATATGAGTGTTATTATTACGATTCTAGCTGTATTTAATAAGAAACCCAAACTAAGCACTTGTCAAATTGATTATGAGTGTATATTTTTGTTTCAGGGTTTGGTTGGTTTTTTTTTTTTTTAGTTGGTTGGGTTTTCTTCTCTGTTTCTTTTTTGTCCATGACCAGTACTTGGCATCTCTGTAGAATTCAAAGGATCAATTTAAGGCTTTAGTGTCTCAGAAATACAGTTTGTGCTAAGTGGCCAAATAAATCCCATATGTAACCCCCCGTTTCGCTCCTCTGTTCTCAGAATAATGCAAGTTGGAAGGGATCTTCAGGGTCTCTGCTCCAGCCTCCTGTTCAAAGCAAGAGTCAGCTATGGGGTCAAACCAGGTTATACAGGGCTTTTTCCCATCTTTATTCAGATTACAATTAGCAAACTCATGAGAGAAGCTGGCCCTCAGCAGATTGTAACTGTAGGACTTTATTCAGCACTGCCTTGCCAGCAGGTCTGAGGGAGCTGATTGTTCTTCTCTACTCAGTACTGGTGAGCTGCACCTGAAGTACTGTGTCCAGTTCTGGGTTCCCTAGTACAACACAAATATGGACTTTCTGAAGTGAGTCCTGCAAAGGGCCACAACGATAACTGAGGGACTGGAACATCTCATATGAGGAAAGGCTGAGAGAGCTGGGGCTGTTCAGCTTGGAGATGGCTGCTCAGGGGAAATCTTATCAATGTTATAAACAGCTGGGGGAAGTCAATACAGAAGAGGCACAAATTAAAACACACAAAATTCCATCTAAACACAAGAAAACACTTTTTTACTCTGAGGGTGGTCAAACACCCTCACAGTAAGAGAAGAAAGTCACTCAGCTGCAGAGTCTCCCTCTGTGAAGACAGTTGAAAACTGACAGTCCTGGACAACTTACTCTAGCTTAAGCCTAGGGGGTTGGACAAGGTGATTTCAAGAGGATCAAGAGATCCCTTCCAATCTCAGTGATTCTGTGATCATCTCAAGCTTTTTCTGGGCTTCATCACAGGTGTTTTAACTGACAGAGAAGCAAATGGGTCTTTATGAATTCAGACTCATGGTAATGTGGAAACATCTAACAAGAGAAGTCCCCTCTGGTTTGCATCAGGAATGTCATGCTAACATAGGTGAGCTTGGAAGAAGTGAAAGCGTAACAGTACTTCTAATCAACAGGCATGTCGAGGTGATAAACATGATGATCCAGTTATTGTTCAGGATTCACTAGACGGTAGTGATAAATCCATTGTCAATGAGACTGAAGTGGACGCAGCTGGTATCTGTACCCTGCCTGCTGGTGCAGACTTTATCATGTGCTACTCTGTGGCACAAGGTAAGTTCTAGTATTTTACCTTCAGTGTCTGATACTTCACCATAACAAACTTTAACATTTATTCATTTTGCAGTCAAAATAATGAGTACAGTTCCAAGTCATCTGTTTTATATGTCTGATAAGTGACATCTTGTGTGGGAAAGAGCCTCACATATTAAGGAAAAAGTGAAAATAAACTATCAAGGTTGCAGTTAATTTGCTAAGAAGAAACATTCTCATTAATCTTGCTGCTGAGCTGTCTGCTGGCAGCAAGCATTCCCTTCTTTTCCAGGACTGTAGGATTCTAGTGGCTTACAAATTTCACTGCACTTACATGGCTGTTCTCTCTGCTCCTCCATGTATCTTGCCCTCAGTCCCATCTGCTTTCTTGTAATGTGCAGATGCAATCCTGTCAGCTGTCAGCCCCTGAACCACGCTCATCTTGGCTAAGCACTGAAAGTGATCTCAAAGCCATTTCTGATCTACAATTCCCAGTGAAATTACATAATTGGCAAAGTAAGATTTACACCCATTAGTAATCCCTTGCGGATGCAGCTAGCAAGCAGTAATTCTCCATGTGTTTTTCAAATGGCATCACTATTTACATTTGGATAATTTTATGTTCCTCTTCTAAAACAGGTTACTTTTCTCATCGTGAAACTGTAAATGGCTCCTGGTACATTCAAGATTTGTGCGAGGCACTGAGGAAGCACGGCTCTTCCTTGGAGTTCACAGAACTTCTTACTCTCGTTAACAGGAAAGTATCTTATCGCAAAGTGGATATGTGCAGAGACATTAATGCTATAGGAAAAAAACAGATTCCTTGTTTTGCCTCAATGTTAACTAAAAAATTGTATTTTCATCCAAAATCTAAGTAGGTTGTTACTGAATAATGACAACCATTAACTAGTACTCACTGCAGAGGTGAAAGACACACCATCTTAGTTCGGGAGACTAATATTCCACAAGATTGTTTGCAAAAATACTGGGATCAAACTTTATAGTTTGCATACATAATAGTCTCCAAAATCTTAAAGCAATTTTAAAGCTAGTTTTACAGCTCTGCTCTTCTCAGGGAATTTGGGAAATGTTGACTGATGCAAAACTATTAGGTGCTCAGATTTTATGGGAACTGGTACTCTAGATTACTTTTTTCCTTAAAAGTTTTTTGGTGTCTAACTATGGCACATTTTAATATTTGCAGAACATTTCAAATGTTGCATTAGGTTAACTTGCTCCAAGAGCACAGTTGATAGGGAATACGTAGGGCATATTCTGAAATTTGTGGACAGCAGTATCCACCTTCCAATTTCTGAGCATTTATTGAGCTTTTTAAATGTTGTTTTTTTTCTCTCAACACTAAAGAGGACCTTAATTACTTGAGTACGATTATAGCATTAATATAGATAGAAGACTGCTTTTTTGCAACATCATTTATGTTTGGGGCACAACTACAGCTTGCTGGTGCTTTGTATCCTCAGGAGAAAAGCAAGCAGTAGTTAAGTGAGACCATGCACCACTTGCTTAGTGTGACTTTGGGTAAGCTCACCTTGCACGTATCTCTAAAGCACATCATTTCAAGATTCCAGGCTTACTTACAACTTCTGGTCATCTCTAGGCAGCTCTGCAAAATACTATATACACAAGCCTTCATACTAAGGACCTTGGTTCTGGATCAGCCTTTTTCTCCTCTTGGCCTCAGAGGAGATCACTCATACTGTCACTGTGTACATAAAAGTGATGGTGCATTTGTCACCATAGGACATTTCAGCATAGGATTGTTACTACTGCAGCATCAGCAGTAGCTCAATGATACTGACTGGAAGCAAATATTTCTTTTATTATTTTTTACATTATTGGTACATATGCTTAACTCTGGGGGACAGTGGAGAACTTGAGAAAAGTGTCTTAATCCACTTTCCTGGGTATGAAGTAATTGATTTAATGGCTCTGCTTCAGTTAAATCTTTCCATATACCATATCCTGGCTCATAGATGTTAAGTCTTCCTATGGCTATTTTTAAGCTTTGTATAAATCATGTCTGTCTGATTTTTTTTATAAATTCTTTCAATAAAATACAACCATGAAAGGAAATATTTTATAGTAAATGAGTTTGCTCTTATTTTTCCAGCAATATTTACTAAAAAAAAGCTTACTTGTGATGCACGCCTAACCTCACCAGTAGTGTTACACCTGCAAGAGTCAATGCTCATACCTGGGAAGAGGAAACAGTAATTTCAGGGAAAAAATCCTTAACGCAGAAGTTAATTATTCTATGAGCTACTGCTGTGCCATAGTAAATGGTACTAATAAAACACCCCTGTCATTTTACTAACAGGCAGAATGCCTCCATTTTAGTAAGGAGATTTGACAAATATCTTGAAGAAATTCAGCAGCTTCTTCATAGGATTTAAAAACAAAAAAACTCAAAAAACAAACAAACAAAACCATCAAGCAACCACACAATTTTTATACATATTTATTGCAACTTTCAAAACTGTATGGTCAAAAATATCCAGTTGCTATAGAGCAACAAAGTGTTTCTATCAGCTTTGAAAGAGCAATTCTAATATATACAAAACCAAAGTCAGTCCTTGTCGTTGATTTCCTGGACTGGGAGCCTCAGTTGCAGAGTCTGGCGCAGGCGCCTGAGCGATTCTTCTGCCTGCCAGTACAAGAAAGAGTGAGAGTTCATCCTTCTGCAGCCCCCCATATTCTCATTCTCTTTCACACATCCCATATCTTTCTCAGAAGGCATTGGTCTTTCGCAAGGAAACAAACTAATCAAATGGAAGGCACTGAACATTAACAGACCTGCTCAGGTCGTTCAGCCAGTCTCCAGAGAGAAGCATCTGCCTTGCCCACCCAGCCATTCACCCACACCCCGAAGTACTATTTTCCTGAAATTAAAATCACAAAATTTATGTTCTCAGGCTACTGAAAAAGTATCAAACTCTAGCCTTATGTCAAATGTGGCTCATGAAATGATACTTGAACTGAAATTATGGGTAGTTTCAATTTTCTTCTATGAGACACTGAGCAAAAGGCTGGTGAGATGGGATGAGGGGGTAAGAAATGAGGAGCGAGAGATCTGCTACACTTTTTCCTGAAGACCACAAAAAGTTTCTCCTTTTCCATCCCATTGTCTGTATTCTATAAATCTAAGCTTTTACTTTAGGAATAGGATTAAGATGTTAGATCCCGAACTCTGCAAGACATTCATTCTCCTTCCACGGAAGGGAGGAGGATTGTGTTACCACAGCAGTGCAGCAAACATACTGTCTCCAAAGGCAATACAGCTTTCTAGTGAAATGGCAAAAAATGCAACACAGTAGAATATGAAAAAATGGGTGTTCAGGGCTGATAAACTGACTTACTTGTTTTGAATTAAATTCATAAAGGTCTCCCTTTTTGATGACTTACTGAAGCAGTTTATATGTCAGTAGGAAACCCTGTATGGTCATTTAAACAACTGAAACTAGGTGACAAATAATACACTTTTAAATGTAAGTAGCAAACCTTGAGGTCAATTTTCTATTAGCTTAGAGTTTACTGAAAAATTCTTAAGCAAGCCAGAGGCTACCTCATTATTTAAGGACTGTATTTAAATACCTCTGCTATGTTTTCTTTGAGCTGGTTGTATCGTTCCACATTAAAATGCTGTTTTTTGCATTTCCGATAGAAGTAGTGGAGGAACTGCCTGTCTCTTGCATCGGAGTAAATGTAGTCCTGGTGAAGAAAGCAGGGCACATATTTGGGGTTAGCAAGAAAACTGAGTAGAGGTCCATTTCAGGAAGATTTATTAGTTCAACATGCACATGTTCTGTTAAGAGACTATATATGAAGTTAGGTTCTATAGGTCGTAAGGGCCTTTTAGACATACGGTAGGAACCATTTCTTTCTCATCTACAGAAATTTTCAATTACAATAAGGACACAGCATGATCTTCATGACTGGAGCCACTGACTAAGTCAACTTGGACACTGCTTCCAAGGAGTCAGAAAAAACTTCAGCTACTATTTCTCAAAGACTTATTTGAAAGTCTCAAGCAATGGTGTCAGCAGCTGTTCAAAAAAGCCAAGTACTAAGCTCTCTACCTACTCATATACCAAAAGCAGGAATGCTTTAGCCTCTATTAAAAATCACTGAGGAAGAGTAAAACTTGCATTCAGAGCCAGTAATAGTCAAGCAAAGTAGTAATCTCTCTACCTACTCATATACAAAAAGCAGGAATGCTTTAGCCTCTCTTAAAAATCAGTGAGGAGGAGTAAAATTTGCATTCAGATCCAGTTCTTCATAAAAACAGACATGTCTCCCCTTTTCACTAAAGGAGCCTGATGTCTTATGAAGTCTATAGTTCTACGGGCATTATGGAAGGAAGTGCTGGCTGCTCTGCCACGTACCTCCATAACAAAAAGACTTTCATATCACACCAGTTCAACACCAAGATGTCCACTCTGGGAGTAAAGTACAGAGCTAAACCAGGCAAAAGAAACATTTCTCGAAGTCTTACAGTCTGTATTGTGTAGCTCAGTTAAGATCTGGTCTTTATGTTGGTCAGCAAATGTTTTTTCCTCTAAACAATGCCTGTTCCCTGCTCCATTTCAGCTCTCTCAGGTTTACCTCCATTCATCAATGGAGGTAAATCTATTTTCCAGTGTCAAGGAAAAGCAGTCAGATTATGAAGAGCAAAGCAATAACATTTTTTCAGGCACTGAACTGGATATATTTCAATAACACAGCTGCAAAAGTTCCAAAGAGTTTGGTACTCTGCATCATTTATACATAAACTCCACCAAATAAAAGCTGCTGTTCAGGGATTTGCTTCTGTAAGGCAGCATTCCTAAAACTGGCACAGCAGTACTATTTGCTCTCCAGTTTCAGCAATGAGCAGTGTGCTGTTTACTACTCAAAGTGATCTACAAAATATTAAAAGGGAACACTAATAAGATTTATTTAATAAGTGGCTGGTATGGAAGTTCATGTGTAACAGTTACCTGGCATGATTTCGTACAATGTAATGTTCATGTCCAGCCCCGTTAGGGATCAACCAGGTCTGATGGCAAGGCTACTTACTGAATTGTATTTTCATCAGCCAAATACTGTGATTTTCAGAGTCAGTTTTCCTCCTCTACAATACTCCAGACATTTACAAAACAAGGCCTTACCTGTTTAGTAAGAATAAAGTAGGCATAGAAAGCCATGGCACTCCCGTAAGTGATGAAGTATGTGACTGGCTCCATGATGTCCCATGAATAGACCCACCATGTGAGCCATGCCAACGCTCCCCCTTGGGTAGACATCAGAGCTAGGCCGACCCATAGAAGCCTGGTGGTCTTTGCATTCGCATTGACTGCAATTCTGGCTTTCATCTAAGGAAAAGAAACAGAGCAACCTGTTCAAGCAAATACGAGTGCTCCCCTGATGTGATAGGACAAGGGGTAATGGGTTAAATCTTAAACAGAGGGAGTTTGGATATACGGAAGAAGTTCTTTACTGTAAGGGTGGTGAGGAACTGAAAGGGTGGTAATACACTAGAATGGGTTGCCCAAGGAAGGAAGTTGTGAATGCTCCATCCCTGGCAGTGTTCAAGGCCAGGTTGGACAGAGCCTTGGGTGACATGGTTTAGTGTGAAGTATCCCTGCCCATGGCAGGAGGGTTGGAACTAGATAATCTTAAGGTCCTTTCCAACCCTAATTCTTCTGTAATTCTATGAGCAGCACCTCAACTGTTTTCTCCTGCTGGACTAGATCCTTTTTCAGGATCTTATTACTGACTCCAGTTACCCTGCTGAGAAAGAAAAGGACTGAAATCCTCTGCTGTGCACCAAGTAATCCTGCTTTTAATCTCTGATTCCCACTATGTAGATATACAGGGATTTATGTCTATCGGATTTCCATTTAACATTCAAGACAGCTGTGCTTAATGCTGAGGCTGATCCTTACAAAGCAGGTCTGAAGACAAGAAAACATATGTCCACTTTGTCAGGCTCTTTCTGGCTTCCACCCCTCATGCTGGGTCAGCTTAGCCTGCCCTACATAAACATTCACACCTTCCCTTCTTGGGTTCTGGCAACCATTAATCCAGACAATTTGCCTTGCTGCCTTAGTGATAAGGAAATGCCTAACCTAAGACACAGGTGATTTCTACCTCACTATTGCTTTAGGGTTGTTTTTTTCTCTAATGGGTATTCAGAATTCATGCAGAAACAGGTGACTAAGTGGACTTTCAATCCCAATACAAGCCATGTTGAGGCTTGCTCATGACAGCATTCTCCAGGTGTTCTGGCTTCTACTCAGGAAAGGTGCATACCAGGAGTGAAAAGAACTGAACTGAAAATAATCTGAATTGAGCCTCATTTACATAATGAACAAAACAGACACACCATAACCATTCATGCTGATTTCCTTCTGTCACAGGACTTACTCTTGATGAAAGGAAATGCCTTTGAGTTTCTAAAAAAAGTGACCCCACTTTCCAACCTGTTCAAGAGGCAACAGCTCTTCTTTCAGATGGTCCAGTTTCCGTAGCAATTCTCTCTCTTTCCTGACCTGGTGATCTTCTAAATGTAGAGCCACATACAGTCTGTGAACCAAGTATTTTATATCTTCCATTTCAGTAGCATGCTCGCTACTCAGCTTATCTGAAAAGAAAATGTTTGTCATATAAAACATTTCAAGAACCACGCTTCTTCATTCTCTCTCCACCTCCAACCCCAAAAAGCAGGATGATCCAATGGTAAAAAAAACACCACCACCCCTCCTTCCTCCCCCCCCAAAAAAAACAACAAACAAAACCCCGAACAAACCCAAAACAAAGAGAAATTCCTTTATCCAGGCAGGTTCCAGTTCTCTGAGACTTCCCATTTCTTTCACTCGATGAAGTGAGGTAATCAGAGTTAATAAGCATTGCTCTTACCTTTTACAGGAGGTGACACACAATATGCTATGTTGTTGATAACAAGTGTGAAGTCATTCCTCAGTAAGACCTCCATTGAGGTTGCACCACAGACCTTGCAACCATCTGCAGAAGAAAGATTTAAATTCTAAATAATTTCTCATATGGAGATTTAAACATTAACTGATATCCCTTTGGAATTTTCGATGAGAAAATGAACATGAGCCAGCTGCAGTGTGCGCTTGCAGCCCAGAAAGCCAACCGTATCCTGGGCTGCATCAAAAGGAGCGTGATCAGCAGGTCGAAGGAGGTGATCCTGCCCCTTTATTCTGCTCTTGTGAGACCTCACTTGGAGTATTGTGTACAGTTCTGGTGTCCTCAACATAAAAAGGACATGGATCTGTTGGAACAAGTCCAGAGGAGGCCACGAGGATGATCAGGGGACTGGAGCACCTCCCATATGAAGATCGGCTGAGAAAGTTGGGGCTGTTCAGCCTGGAGAAGAGAAGGCTGCGTGGATACTGGAAGCAGTATCTGAAGGGGGCCTATAGGGATGCTGGAGAGGGACTCTTCATTAGGGACTGTAGTGGTAGGACAAGGGGTAATGGGTTAAAACTTAAAACAGGGGAAGTTTAGATTGGATATAAGGAGGAAATTCTTTCCTGTTAGGGTAGTGAGACACTGGAATAGGTTGCCCAAGGAGGTTGTGAATGCTTCATCCCTGGCAGTGTTCAAGGCTAGGTTGGACAAGGCCTTGGGTAATATGGTTTAGAGCGAGGTGTCCCTGCCCATGGCAGGGGGGTTGGAACTTGATGATCTTAAGGTCCTTTCCAACCCTAACTATTCTATGATTCTATGATTCTAAAAGTACCAGAGCTTTTTATTAATACTGTTTGGAAAGGAACTGTACATTTAGTAAGTCTGGTAACTGACATTAAGCAGTAAGTAGCATCAACACAGAGTGTGTGTTTGAATGCCTTCACTAGCAATGTCATTCAGACTCATCACTACAATGAGCAAACTTGCATTTGCCACTTGTAGTTGGACAGCAACTTCAGTACATGAAAAGGCTCTCATCCAAAAGTTTAGACACACTGCAGCCCTTCCCGGGGCATACTCAACACAGCAGATCTCGCACGATTAGTACTCTGGCAACACTTCTATTTTCTTGGTAACAGGAAAAATAGCTGCATCCAAATGAGAAATGGATCCTTTCCTAGTTTACATTCAATACACAAAGGTCGATGTAACCTAAAACCTCTGCTAAAATGTAGATCTGTTTTGGCCTATTTCTGCTTTTTGTTTCCCCTTTTTAAAGGGGCCTGGCATTTGTAAATAACCTCTTGTCCTTAGTATATTGCTACTCTTCCTGCCTGCAAGCTTTCGGATGTCCTCCTCATTTCACCGTCCACCGTACGTCACTGCAACTAGGAGGCAAAGGAACACACCAGATCCTGCAGGGAGCTGAAGACACTGAAAAGGAGTTCCTGAAGTCATTAGCAGCAACATGTAATGGTGGATCCCTGGAGCTCTCACTGGCCCAAGTCCAGATCCCACAGCCACCCAGTAAAATTAGCCCCTCCAGGGGGTTCAGATAGTCCAAGAACCTCTGGTGCCACACACCACTGGTGCTGCTGGACACACTGCTGTGTTGGGGAGTGGGGGGATTCAGAAAGCCACATCCACAATACTCATTTGACCTGGCCTTCCATTTCCTGTATATAAAAAGGGCACCTTCTCTTCCCCTGCCAAGAGGTGGGCAGTGTCAGAAAACAGCAGCTTTACTTCCAAGATGGATAATAAATTTTTTGTAAATAACATTTGTCACAGTGCTACTGCACCAGCACCTCCATCTGTCTCCATGTGCCCACTACAGAAAGGCACAATAGACAGCCACACACCTGCAATTATTTATCCACTGGAACTCTATCATCAGACCCCATCTACTGAGGCTAAGACTACTGAGCTCTGCAGGCTAATGCACCAGCTGGCTCCCTGACCAACTCTGTGTGTAGCAAAGCAAACCTGGGAGGCTAACACTAGCACTTTCAATACAAAATCTGAAGTTTTAATGTGCCCATCCACTCTTGGGGTTTTTTTTCCCCTAGTATAATAGGATGTCATTTGCATGTAAATGATTAAGGTGATATTTAAGCAAAATAGCTGTTCAAAAGAAGTACCAGACAAGCTCTTTGTTCTGGATGTGATAAAACACCAGTTTATTAACCTGAACAAACTTTTATTAACTGAAAAGCAGAAAAGTTTGGGGGTAGTGAGGTGTTTTGTTTTAGAAAATTCCTCACAGGCTTTCAGCAAAAGGCTACTTTCTTTCCTATACCTAACTAAAAGTGTTCAAATGTGGACAAAGGGCCATTTTTTGCCTACAGAAGTTTTGCAGAACCAAATTCAACTCCACAGAAAATGAGTCATCATACACAGCATTAATACTTTCAATTAAGGTTGGCTTTCATTTAATGGCTAAATGACACAGTAGAAGTGTCTAAAGCAAGGCTTCAAAATTTTTCTTTAATAATAGATGTTCAAACTCAAGCCCTAGTACTTGACTAATAGTTTCTCTTTACGGGATCAGTTTCATAATGAATTAAACATTTAAGCTGTCCTCTAATATCACAATTGCCTGGCACTTGAAAAATACAGAGCAGAGAACTGTTGAACACTCATTGTTTTGATCAAAGTGGGCAATGTTTCTATTGCAAAGTCAGGGTGGGGGAGCTTAAGCAGGTGAGACAGGTGAAAACAGTCCAAATTCCATTCCACTTTGGAACCTGCTGCTCATCCATGCCAGAAACACCAGACTTGTAGGTTTCTTATGCTTCACAAGTGACTGATGCTTGCATTGATAAAAAACAAGCCATTAACTTTTGCTGACGGGCCACAGGAGAATGAGATTCAGCACACAACCACAAATACTTGTGTCATGGATGTGTCTGCACAATAGGATAGTTGTACTCGGAGGCTAACTGTTTGCCAGCACATATTTTTGGCTAGCCCTGCCTCACCTCAGTAAGAAATCCTTTTAGTCAAAACCCCCATGTTCAGGGGAAGGCCAGCTGCTGGCAATGACTATTAGTTACAGTGGCTGCTGAAGAGTCTCTTACAAAATTATCTTTTCCAAGAGAATTTTCTAACTTTGCTGCCTAACAGACACAGCCTTAATGAAAAAAAGAAACAACAAAAAAACCCAACCTCCAAACAACACAAAACCCCAACACACAAAAAACCCCCGAAACCCTAACATAAATAACCCCACAAACAATGCCAAAGTTCCTGTGTACATGAAGTTCATTCACACACTGGATCTACAATGAGCTCCCCTACAGTAAACAATGCTAAACCTGATGGAGGACTGAACTCATGCTTTAGGACAGAAAGGAATTCCGTTTGAAAATTCCACTTGAAAGGAAAGGATTCATTTTGAGGAATGACAGAATTGTAAAATACCTGTTGCAAAGACTTCTGCTCTCTCAACTCCTTTATCTTCTCTCTGCACATCCTGCAGAAATGCCTCTACGGTGGTCACCATTGGTTTAATAGTGAACTGACAGCGTTCGCTTCTTGTGGGCAGCGTAAGAGTTATCACAGGAAGACCATGCCTGTAATCAATACTTACTTCTGGGGGGAGGAAGGGAAGAAAACAAAATGAAAAAGTAATATTGTAAGTTGTAGCTTAATTTAACAGCTGTTTTTAAAACACAAGATGAATAAAGAAAAAAAACCACAAAACACTCTAGATTTCTTTAATGATGCAGTACCTCTGTTTTTAAGGGATATATATATATATGTTTACATATAACATGCAACTAACGTCATCTCCCCCTACTCCCACAAAAATGAAATGTACATCTCTACATGGAGGGGAGGGTGCAGAATGTGCTGGGAAAGCTTACCATCAGATGGCACCAGTGTTCTGTAAGGTGCTCCCACCTGCTCCCTCCACGCTTCTGTGTGCTTCCACAGCCGCACCTGCAGCACAGACACAGGGAGCCTGCTTTTTGCAATTTCTATGCAAAAAGACAGAACCATCCTTAAAGACAGTACAAAATATTGCCAAAGGTATTAAGGTGTTGCCATAGTTAAACTTTTTGTCTAATGTGGTTTAAATAACTCAAGGAAAAGAGGAAGGGGAAGGAAAGAAAGGAAAAAAAATGGGAATGGCTCTGAAGTGCTTCACGCAACTCTCACAATAAGACCTCTCCTGTACTGCAAAAAAGAGCTGCTTGAGAAGTCTCTACATCATGGTGCCTGAAGGCAGAAGTGCTCTGTGTCAGTTCATAGTCTGTAATGTAACTTAAAACAGGGGACATGATTCCAGTGAAGTCTTCTACTGCTGAATCATAAACTTACTTCTGTCACTTTTTATGTTCTCAAATAAAATACAAGTGACTGAGGTTACTTTCCTTTGCTTCATAATTATACACCATACACCAAAAGTTAACTGTTGACATTCATGGTGTTAAGAGACAAACCCAACAATGTGGCTTGCCAAAGTATGGAACATTTTTTTACTTTTCAAACATGAATGTCTGTTTCAGCTCTAGCTGAGATGCTGCTGCAACTAACAGCACCACTAGCCTCTGGTACCGCACTGAAGGAAGCACACCCAGACGCGGTAAGCATCCCCTATGCCCTGGGACAGGGATAACAGCAGGTTTTTTAACCTGCCTGGCTGTGCTCCCAAGCCTGTTCCTTCCCAACACATCAGTGAGAACCATAAAGCTCTTTTAACACAGCCATGTCAAAACAGAGAAGACAAACTGCTCTGATTAGACCCATGTACTTCAAGCAGTCCACCCACACTGTGAAAGATGCAGTGACTTCAGAACAAAAGGCCTCTGCCTCTACAGCTAGTCCCCCCGAACAAGGAAAAGAACAATTTTATTGCAGTGACTCCCACAAAGCAGGCATTACTGCTATAAACTAAGTGTACCAGGCAGAAGTAGGAAGTGAAATCACATCCCTGACTAAGCTGGTTACAAGAATTGTCCGTAGGCTGGGCCAAGACACTTGGCACGTAACTTTGCAATCAAGATCTGATATCTATCATCCAAAATGCCCCAGGTATCGAATTGTACCCAGCCTCTATTTGAAGGTTATTTATTTTCTTTTGTTGTGAATTTGGATATCTACTTTACTTATGACAGAAACAATGCATTCAACAATTAATACATAACCAAATAATTTAAATATATTAAGTAAAAAATAAATTACATTCACTGAAATAAGATCATTAAGGTATTTCATTCTATTATTCTTTAGACTTCGACATTATGACTCATGCATGGTCCATTGAAAGAATCTCTATATACTAAACGTTTTCTTAAATTTTGTAGGTTGTCTGTTAATGCAGCTTACCCATTAAAATCACCTGCAAAGAATATGTCTAGTATAAGAAAAGCAAAAGCCACTGATCCATGCAGTTGAATTGAGTTCCAAATAATAAATTCTTCCTATCAGGCTGATTAATTGGGAAGTGTGAAGGACCGAGTCAACTTTCTCCCTATATTTCCAGATTTAAATATCCAGTTTCAATAAAGTTATTTAACCATTAGCTTGCACCTTATAGCCAAAGCACTGTGCCCCTTTCAAAGTGCTAGGAATGACCCCTACCCGGCCACTAGTTGGCAACTGAACTGCAGGACCAAACCAATGAGACTGCCCTCACAGTAACATCAGTGAGAGCTGGAATCTTGGCTAATTCATCTAACCACACAAAGGCTGAAGAAAGCTATTCTACATCTTTCTGCAATACAAACACACACATGGCAGCATATCCTAAAACACTAACACAATTACAACTATGGGAATCAGGCCAAAGGCCTGTGAACAGCATTTAGCTCTGAAACTGTTAGCTGTTTCTCCCTCAGCTATATTTGCTTCCTAAAGCAAAACACTTGTGAGCAGCAGCTGGCCACAGTGCATGACATCTCTTGGCTCAGTTCAAAGGCATAGGTGCTGGGAGTGAAAACTCATGAGAATTTAAGGCACAGAGTCCTAACTGTGATAAAAATAATTCAATATATTCCATTAAACAATTCAGTTGGTATAAACCAGAAAATATTACACCAGTTGGTATAAAACAAAAGAAGTTGGTATAAACCAGAAAATATATATCCAGTTTAAAGAACTATTTTTCTCTGTTAAGGGTCTCTGTAAGCAGAGAAGTTGCCACTCTTAAAGTTGGAGATGAAATTCCAATGATCTGGTTTACAGCACAGCTTTAGAGACTAATGTAGGAGCAAAACTGAGCTAGAAAATTACACAGCCAGACATAAGGAGTGGGAGAGACAGGAATAGCAATATTGCATTTTTCACTTTGGAGAGTGGCAAATGACTGAATCTACCTACATTGCAGTTTCTGGAGTTAGCTGTTTCAAATAAGCTATCTCTTATGATGCTGAGTGACTGCACCTGCAAACTTCAGCTCAAATTTGTGTGACCAGTTATGTGTAATAAATTGCTGTCATCATCAGTATAGGAGGTGACATGAAGGCCTCTGGTCTTCCTCAGCCCTGCATATACAAATAGAAACCTCATCAGGAACATTAACTTCTGTCCTATGGAAAACTGTAATGTGGGTGGGAAAGGAGAGAGCAAGAAATAAAAAGATTTCTTCTCATTAAAAAGTGACTGTAATAATGAATTCTACAAAAAGATGTCATTAGGAGACTGTCTTGAGAGCATGTAACTATTGTCTCTGATGCTTAGTTGGTTTATTACATTTTGACTTGCCATACCAAAATGTGGTAAAAAGTCTGAATCAAAATGCAGCTAGCCTACAATCACATACTTGACCACTGGTTTGTCTTTGCTTATATGCGTCTCAGAAGATCTGGTTGTTTTGGTTTGTTGTTTTGACAGCAAAACTAATGTAATTCTCCTTCACCATCCCAGTCCCCCTTAATTTGCATTTATTAGTAGAAAACTATTCATCCCAACCAAAAACCAGTTGAACTCAGTCTGCCCTCTTCTTGAAGTGCCATGCAATACTTAAAAGACTTTATTCCGCTAGCATGAGATGCTGCCAAGAATGCCTCAAGTCAAACTCACAAGCAGCCTTCATAAAAATTATTACTGCCAACTGATACCATGAATGCTATGGCGTCCCATATTCTAATTTCCTTCTCTGTAAGGCAATGATAAGAACCTGAAATGGAAAAGCACAGTAAAAAAACACACTATTCCACTCAGCTTAAGCTTTTTACCCTTAATTACACTGCAGCAAAACACACTCTGATTAAAACTTATCTTGCAGTGTGCTTTTCAATAGTAATGTAGCATTACAGTCTTTCCTTTGGCAGAAGAGGAGAGATCAGTTATCTCCTGGAGACCCTGTCCAACACCTGATACAGTTCCTTGCTCACACCTACTGGAGAAGGACTGGAGGAAGAGAACAGAAGGGAGAAAAATCATAGGGGAAAACATCAGCTGCAATGACTAAAAATGAATCCTGGGGCCTCTCTTTCTAAGTGTCACTAGACGAATCAACGACCCCAGTATCCAGCATCCTCCCCGTGCACCGATCTACTGATCTTTTCCAGCCTGTGAAGGAGAACGCAAGACAAGTTACCCTTCTAGATGCTGCTTGCTTGTCTGGAACAGAAGGAAAATGAGAGCCAGTATTGTGTTAGCCACTGTTCAGGGAGGACATGTACTACAAATAGATAATTATATTTTCAATAGCAACATACATTTTTTCTATCTCTACTTAACACACCTAGAAGTTCTCTGCATATGAATGACTTCAGCTCCTGTCTATTTCTCCAAGGGAAACAAACTGAGCAATTAATTATTTATGGAGTAGCAATCTGCAACTTCAGGTTAAATATCTACAGACATTTCAGAGAGGTTTAAAACTGAGGGAAAGGAGGAAAGAAAGCAGGTGCTGTCACATTCTACTGAGTTTGCAGATCTTGTACAACCAAGATCACCAAAAATCAGTCAAGTATTCAGACCAAGTTTACAGTAACCGCACGTAAGGTATTTTCCCTTTTTAAAATGAGTCACCAAGGCCATTTGTGAGATATCTGCTGCTAAGTTTCTGTGCTGTTTTTATAAGCAATCCCACATGAGTAGGAAAACAAGACATAAGGAGTCCTACAATCACCCCAGAAGTGCCCATTTGAGCTACAGAAACACCTTCTCATTAACTTTTCAGTAATCTGTCTTTGCTTAAACTTAAAGGACTTTCATTGTTTCTCTACTGGTCCTAGAACAGATTTAGATGACTATGCAACTCCAGCCTCACTACAAAGAGCAGGTTTAAGGTGCATAGCTCAGATTTAGCAATTTCTTCTGGAAGCCCAACTTAAATTAAACAAACAAACCCCCTGCAACAGACACCACTCATCCTGCAATAATACACCTATACCTGGTAACTTTCAGCAAGGGAAGAAACTTGTGAAACTTGGGAGCATTCAGGATATGTACTTTTTTCTTTTGTATCTTTTTCTCTCTAGGACAGAGAAAAGATGACAGATTTTCTTATTTTCCTGAGATACAGCTTTCCTGTCTCTATATGGACCATGTGGTGAACACCTTCTCCCAGCTGCTCCACAGGGCACTACAAGGACTGCACTGCAACATTTATATTTCAGTCCTGCAGCTTACATAAAAAACATAGTATTTTTAACCCCTTCCTCAGTACAAATTAAAGTTTAAAAAAGTAACCAAGATGTCTCTTCCAGCAAAGCAGCAGTTTCAACATAAGCATGCATAGTCTGGTGATACTGAATAAGGAAGAGCAATACAGCATTCACGCGGCTCTCCTTCAAAACTCACTTGTCTCACAGCACCGTAAAAACCAAAAGAGCTCAAGCAATCAAATTTTGGTTTCATGTGCCTGTTGTTCTTTGTGCCTTTATCATCCTTGCTGATCTTTCATTTCCTGCCTCTGCTCAGGTTCCAAGAACACTTGGCACTAGATTTAAGCAGCCAGACAAACTACCAATGACCAAAGTGACAGC